TGCAACATTATTCCACTGATCTTCAAAATTTTCCCTTTGATCCTACTTTTAACGTTTCCTGTCATCCAAATGGGCAGCCGAAAGACAGGAACCACAACCGACACATGATGGTTCATGTTTACTGGTAGAAATTGAAACTTCTAAAACACATTTAACTTTGCACTGATCACTGTTTGAGACACCAAATTGCTTGCTGTACGACCACATGTGCTATTCAGTCCCGTCAATTCAGTTCCGTTTGATTCGTCTGTTTGTGTGCCAATTTTTCGTAGCTAAGTTCCGGGCTACTAGTCTGACCGATCACAACTTTTCTCTTTTCTATTCAAACCGTTTTCGTTTCAAAATACCTCTGGATTAGCCAGCCTGTTGTCGTTTTGTTTTTCAGTATACAACATTCAAATGTGCCCCCGCACCTACGTTTACCATGCATACGTGCTTGTACGCACAGAAGTGCGTGAGGAAATTTTTTTTCGTTCGCTCTTGTATGGAGAATCAACAATGAAACTCAAGGAAATTCAACAACACATCGAGAAAACGGCTCATCCACTCACGGTCAGGTTATATTCCACTGCCTGATCGGGCACTTCCATCCGGCGTAGTCCGACCAATTGAAGTGTGTGCTCGAAGTAAATATCCGTGGTGATTGAGAAACAGAATAGGAACAAGCCCAAAGTGTAGAACAACAGATAACACACAAAAGCCCATTTTTGAGAAGTTTTCAATTCTTTCCACCAACCAGGATGAAACAGTGGTCGTCCTCTGTAGAACGCCGAATCTTCACTACGTCCCGTACTCGACTGACTGTGATGTGTCATGTGTTTTTGAATGCATGTATTTTTGAATCGATCCAGATGCGTAGCCGTCATCCAGGGTTCGGAACTGGCACGTGATCTGATTGATACAACAAGTTGGACTAACTGCAATGAATGTGTCCTCATCCCTGATCACGTGACCTAGGTGGAATACGGCCAGTCATGCTGAACCGTTAGACGTATCCCGCAGAACCCAAGCGACTAAGTTACGATCAGTTAAACGTGGAAACTTGCGGTTGCAGTACCGTGGTAGCACACAAGATGTTCTGTTGAGCGTTAATGTAAATCTACATCAAAGCACATACCTGACGGAACGAAAGCGAACAGTTAAAGTTCGCGAGCAAAGGCATATAATATGAACTGGATGGGTATAACTAGTGTCCTATTGCAGGTTAATTGTGAGGGACGATTGATATCCGGTACACGTTGAATATTGTCAGGATTCCTATATACAAACAGTTACACAAGGGCAGTCCCTGCTCTGGAAAGTGTGAAACAAATTTCGTCACTGTTGATAAAATGATGGTGCTGTGCTGAGGTTCATAATGTTCACACCTGCGCAGTGGGTGCATACGGCCTATGGCCACTGGATGCCCACCCAGGGTTTTAGACCCTGTAATAGATCAAATTCAATTCTTTGGTACGTGCTGAGAGCGAGCAATGTCGTGATTTTGCCATCCATTAAAAAATATAAATATTATTATGATCATCTAAAGGAAAAACTGTGCAGTCGTCTTGATATCAGTAGCTTGAGGTGACAACATAAATCGCTAAAAAGAAAGATGTGACATTCGCAGAAGTATGCTAGATATTTGAGCAGCATGACGAGCTGATGCAAGAAGTTTACAGTGAATCGGTCGCTCTTTTACAGTGACATGATGAGAAGCTAATCCAACCGCCAGAAATCAAGCAGCAGCGTGAACATCCTGGTACTGCTAAATACATGGAACAATGCCCGTCACGCACAGCTTACTAAGTGCTTGCCAAGTGCTGTGACCCCTGAATGGCTGAATATATATGGAAGGTGTGCACATAGTTTCGTCATGACCTGACCAGGCCATCAGTCCAAAAAGAGACAACCAGTCCTGTGAACTGAGAGTGAGCAGGCGCGGTTCATGTACAAATATGTGGTGATACAGTCGCATAGGCGACAGTTTTCCATTGTTGACACAAAGAGTACCGAATCTATCATTTCTATTGAAGTATTCGGATCAATTTGTCCCGAAGTCGTCGTTTGTTCAAACTCTGCGCCAATTTTCAGTGTTGCGAGTCACGAATTCCCGTTGAGGGGAGATGGGTTGATATTGACACTGCTAGAGATAAACTGCTTCGTTCTAATTAGTCTCCGGGTCGCCGAGATTATTCAGTTCATCCCGGACTTGACGGCCATGTGTGCGCGGAGTGAACCAGTGACGTCGAAAAGCCACAATGTGCCACCAATTTATACCCATCGATAGTAACTAATCGCGAAATGTTTCAAAGACATCCAAACTGAAAGTTAAGGGATGCCGACATTTGAGCACAAATTCACGTGAACATTACTGGACCGAGGCAATGGAGAACTTGGTGGAAAGCCCTGCTGCATTTTTTCAAGCCAGAAGACTTTATCATAGCGGGAATTGATATTGAAAGTGTTCCTGATGGAGTAAAGGAGTGCGGCATACGCCACTTCTCAAGAAAGTTTGGCAAAACTTTTCAAGGCGCGACGTTTGCGATTCTCAGTATAATGATTTGGCTCCATGACATTGGCAACAGGTCATCGATTTTGCACCCACCAAACCCGTTTCAGAGACCCCGCCCACCTGAGTGTGAATTNTGTTTCTGAACTGTCCGTTTAGCCGAATGCTCTTCTGGTACTGTGGAAACCAAGCAGCCCTCGAGAAAGCGCCAGTCAAAGTTCTGCGTGTCACAGTTTCAAGGTAATAGACCAGAGGCTGACAGTCTCGACCAGTCAAAAGCCATGCATTTCAAACAGGACACAGATGAGGCTGAGAACTCAGGACGGTGATTGGCTGCTGCCTGCTTAGACAAACGATGCTTCTTTTTTTTCTAATAATAAATCCCATTATTTTTTCCTCAAATTAGCCGCTACTCTCACTGTCTAGTCCCTAAGTATCGTTGATGGTATACTTGGCAAACAATTATTGGTGTGATTACACGATTAGTATCCACAACCGGAGCCTCTGGCTAGCAAAAAGCCTGACCCGCAAGGCAGTGGGGCGGTGTGTGAAAACCGCACTCCATTGGGAACCGGTGTCCAGTTCATCGGATCATAGGCCCTTTGAACGGGGTCAAACGTTAACGGTGCCCAATACACCACGATTCGCAATCAAGCCAGTGACCACTACCACAACCAAGGAAGTAGATAGGATTCACGTGCCTATTCTTGGTCGGTTTCGAAACAGGGTTTTTGGCCAACTCCCCTAGTTGAACAAACAATGGATCATCAACCCGGTTATAGTCCGGGGTGATGCACACCCTAGCAACGTCGGGCTCCGGAACACTGATGACTGTGGTCTATCGTAGGAAGGGATAGTGTGATTCGGTACGTGCGTACCATCCGTGATTTCTCAAACGTGATTCGTGATCGGTGAACACTTCAA